AACTGGAAACCTTAGATTATAAATTATCAAGATTGGATCCATTATCCATTATCGAGTGTACACTCCTCAACAGCACGTGGCGACTCATCGAAGTAAGTTTTACAAGTTTACGTACAAACCTACAAATTTATTTGGATAACTTTTCTCTTTTATTTCAAGCACAGCGATATACCATTAATTAAAATAAAAATTACAAGAATATGTAAGCGCAACCTCGAACGACACGTTGTACGATTAAAACATGAGGATTCCACCCTAGATTGTAAGTTGATTTGAGGTCGATGGTAAAATATGATTTTGGTATACATACGAGTTATCAGCGCCATTGCGAGCTACAGTTCATTATTTACATGAGCGTGTTACGACTAAGATGCGAATAACTAACAATCGCGAGAAAAGATGGTTTTTTAAGGAAGTTCGATCGTGATTTTGTTAAAAGACTTTAAGCAGTTATTCGGTAGAGTATTGTTAAAACGATGTAAGCTCAAAGATGCGCAAAGACAAACCCGTAAGATTGTCACCTGTCCGTTGTCATTTCTGATAATCGCTATGGGATGTGCCAACTCATCTACTATCAGTTAGAAGTTATCAGTTCTCATATGGCAGTATGTGTCCTCCGGGAAACTGTTCGTAACTTACGATGATATAAATTTTCACGATAACGTTGCGGAAAAGGGAATTTCGATACGCGATGGCGAGCACAGCTGTCGGAGCTAACCCGGAGAATACCTCCAAATTTTTGGAATCGCTGCAGACTGACTTGAAGGTTCTTGCCTCCGAGACGAAGAAAAAGTATCCACAAATCAAGGAAGTACGTTATTGTTAACTTCAATGCTTGGTAATATGTTACATGTTATTATATAATATTCAATAAAAAGTTAGGTTAGTTTTCTACGAAAGTGATATATTTTTTTTCCTAGAGGTTAGTATGAAATTAGTTAATGCGGATTTATTAATATCACATTGATATTTATTATAGTCTTGCGAGGAGGGGATTGCAAAAATAAGGACAGCATCGAACACTTCAGGCGCTCCAGTTTATTATATTGTCAATCAAATTTTATACCCTTTGGTTCAAGGTTGTGAGAGCAAAGATGTAAAAATTATTAAGGTACACAAGAACTGATGTATTTTTTTCAAATATGATATTACATTTTTAAACCTTTCGTTATATTATATGTTTCAGTTTTGTTTAACTATGATGCAAAAATTAATTACGCAGCAAGCTGTTGATCAAAAAGGTGCGCGTTACATCACGGATACATTATGGATGTTAATGGAGTCTGGAACAGAAGAAGTTAAAGTTTTACAAACTGTAACTCTTTTACTAACTAGCAACACTGTTGTTCATGGAGAAACACTTGCAAGAGTAATAACTTAAATCACTTACAGAATAGAAAATTTTATATCATTATTAGTATTCTGAATAATTTGTAAGAAAGAAATAATGTGTAATTTTCAGAATTTAGTTCTTTGTTTTCGCTTACATTTTACAAAAGATTCTACAACGATTAACACAGCAGGAGCCACGGTGAGACAATTAGTGTCACTAGTATTTGAGCGTGTTGTTGCAGAGGATGAACAAAGTCCTGATAATGAAGATTCAGATGACATAAATTTGGAAGAATTGAAAATTCCTACTAATCAAGCACCTAAAAGTTTAGGACCATGTGCTGCTGATGCATATTTAATGTTTCAAGTAAGCATATTAATATTGCATATTATTATTTCACTTGATAAAATTTATTTAACGAGTTTTAAATTTTTTTAGGATTTAGTACAATTAGTAAATGCAGATCAACCTTATTGGTTAATTGGAATTACGGAAATGACTCGAACATTTGGATTGGAATTGCTAGAATCTGTTCTAACAAATTTCTCATCAGTATTTTTCAAGGTATTTAATCATAGTGTGATGAATTTATAATGTATAAATTATGATTGTTTAATTTTTCGTGTCTTTTAGCATCCAGAATTTAGCTTTCTGTTAAAGGAAAGAGTGTGTGCACTTGTAATAAAATTATTTTCTCCTAATATTAAATATCGCAACTCAGTACCGGCGTCATTACAACAAGCTACACCTTTAGATAAACCTTATTTTCCTATTAGCATGCGGCTTCTTCGTGTTGTTTCTATTTTAATACAAAAATATCATTCTCTTCTGGTATGTATCACTTTCTTTCAGTACTCGTCTCAAAGGATATTTAAATTTTATGAAAATATTGAATTACCGATTTTAATTTTTTAGGTGACAGAATGTGAGATATTTTTATCTTTAATTGTTAAATTTTTGGATCCTGATAAACCAACATGGCAAAGAGCCTTGGCTTTGGAGGTTTTACATAAAATGACAGTACAGTCTGATCTTCTTACAAATTTCTGTGAATGTTATGACTTAAAACCTCATGCAACCAATATTTTTCAAGATATTGTCAATAGTTTAGGTGCTTATGTACATAGCCTTTTTGTTAATCCTCAAATGATGAATCAAACCAATATGAGTAAGTTTTAATTTGCTATAACAGTAATAAAATATTGTTAGTAATACTATTAATATATTTATTATATCAGCGACTAGTACAACGATTCCACAAAATACGGCTTCTCCATTATTTACGGGAATGCCTATAGGACCTGGTGTTTCACCTCAACCTGGTTTTTATTCACGCGGCATTTGGTTGCCGGTAGTTGCGACATTCACAAGTGGTCAAGCCAAGTCAACCTAGTAAATATATTTTTGTTTTCAATATCATTTTCTCTTTTTTAATAAAAAGTTAATACAAGTGATCAAATTGACTCTTAGTCTGGACATGCTTGATAAGGTTGAGCCACCACAGATTCCTATCGGCTATGGAATAAGCATAGCATATGCATGTTTATTAGACATTATACGGTCCATAGCTCTCGCAATCAGTGGTTCTAGTGAAGTTGTAACTGGAAATCAATCCTACAAGCCTAGCGAATTCGAACGAAAACTTCATACGCAACTCATTAATTCTAGTTGGTGTGGTTTGCTAGCAGCATTAAGTCCTCTTATAGATGCAAGGTAAGAAGAGTTAACCGATTAATTATTTTATCTATGTGATATTTTAGAATTTATTTCTTTCGTGTAAAAATAACTTTCCTCCGTAATTCTTAGTACTGACGAATCTGCGACGGAAAACGTATTAAAAGCAATCCAAACTTTTGCATCACTGTGTGGACAATTAGAATTGCAGACTCCTCGCGATGCATTCATTACTGCGATATGTAAAGCGTCATTGCCTCCTCATTATGCATTGACTGTGTTATACAATGCTCCTCAGGGTATACCGACTGCAAGACAACAAGAATCTACTCAGTACAATGTGACTATTGGTGAACCAGATTATAGACAACAAGTTGTAGCTGTTGGTACTCCCCTACCCACTGCATCTCTGCCAGTTGGTATGTAATAACGATTTGAAAATGTTTACAGTTGAAATTGATATAAACATTATTTGTGTTATATAGGTGCACATCAAGGTCCAGTTATGTTGACGGCAAAAAATTTACAATGTATGCGTGCATTATTATCACTTGCACATTGCCATGGAAGCATACTTGGTGGTGCATGGCATTTGGTACTTACGACATTGCAACATCTTGTTTGGATACTTGGTTTGAAGCCTTCTACTGGAGGATCTTTGAAAGCAGGAAGAACCGCCGCTGATCCAAATGCAGTACTTACAAATGCAGTTATGGCAGATTTGCCTGTACTTAGTGCTATGCTCAGCAGACTATTTGAAAGTAGTCAACATCTGGACGATGTAGCTTTACATCATTTAATAGATGCACTTTGCAAATTAAGCCACGAGGCTATGGAATTAGCTTATTCTAATAGAGTAAGTGCGAAGATAGTTCATATTTTATAATTATATGATTGAAAAAGCATTAAAGCCTTAAGATTTAAGTTTTAAATAGTGCAATTATGTTGCAACGTCTCTGTTAGGAGCCCTCCCTATTTGCTGTGGCTAAACTTTTGGAAACTGGTTTGGTGAACTTACCACGTGTTGAGGTTTTATGGAGGCCATTAACGAATCATTTGTTAGAAGTATGCCAACATCCACATATTCGTATGAGAGAATGGGGAGTTGAAGCTATTACGTATCTTGTAAAAATGGCACTTCAGCACAAATATCCACAACCTTTGCGTGATAATCAAGTATGTTTGATAACCAAAAATATGAAGATTGGATATTGAAAATGTAATTTATTTTTCTTCATTGCAGAAATTGCAGACTTTACTTTTAGGACCATTATCAGAATTGTCATCGGTTCGTCATGGAGATGTAAGACAACGACAATTAGAATGTGTTTTACAAGTTTTACATGGAGCAGGAGAAACACTATATCATGGCTGGCCTTTGGTACTTGGTATCATTGGAGCAGTATCTGATCATCACGGGTAAATATAATTATATAGTAATATAAGTCTGATCTAGTAAAAAATATTTAGTTTAATTTCATATATTCACATATTTTACAGAGAAGCTTTAGTTCGAATAGCTTTTCAGTGTTTACAATTGGTAGTAACCGATTTTCTACCAGTGATGCCTTGGCGTTGTCTTCCACTTTGTGTTGACACTGCTGCAAAATTTGGTTCTCAAACGCAAGAATTGAATATTTCATTAACTGCTGTCGGATTAATGGTAAGAATGAACGACCAACAGCGTTTCAACATTTCTTTTCTTGTTAAATCGTCTTGTTATATAATTTTCTTTTCTTTTCTTGATTTGAGAAAGGCTTAGAGTATGACATGTTATGCGAATTCGGTGACTTTTGGTTGAAACTTTCCATTACAGATTATGGAATTCCTTGCAAGTGCATCAGAACAATTAAAAGATGTGCACGCATTAAGTTGTAGAAGAAATTAGAAGCGTCTAAAATTATTAAAACTGAAGTACAAATATCTTGAATGAAAAAAATTTAAAATCAAGACAATCAGGCAAATGAAGTTTATTTTGGATGTGTTATTACAATTCTTTTGTATTATGTACAAAATAAATTGATAGGATAATTACTAAACTTTGTAGGTCTTATAGACTATAGTTAGTCAAATATTACAGTAATATTATTTTTCTAGTGGAACATAAGCGATTACTTTTATCAAAATCAAGAGAAACTATGCATATCTCTGAAAGGAGATTCGTCATCTGTATTTCCTGATTTTCCTGGTACAACAAATATGCCACCATTTGACAAACTTTGGATGTGCCTATACGCAAGATTAGGTAATATATTTTAAAAAATTTTATGTAGACGATAAAAAATTTTTGAGAAATTATCAATATATTTATATTTTTAGGCGACTTATGCGTGGATCCTCGACCCGCTGTACGCAAATCAGCTAGTCAAACTCTGTTTTCTACAATATCTGCACATGGTAGTTTGCTACACCAGCCAACATGGCAAGCTGTACTTTGGCAGGTTCTCTTTCCATTGTTAGATAGAGTAAGAAGTTTATCTAATTCTGCCAGTAGTGAAAAAGTAGATACTAGTGGAAACATACTTATCCATCACAGTAGAAATACAGCACAAAAACAGTGGGCAGAAACGCAGGTAATACATATTTATTTAATACATTAATTAAAATATATATTAATAAAATTGATTTGTTCAATTATTATTCTGTATACAGGTATTGACGTTAAGCGGTGTTGGAAGAGTATTTAACACCAAGAGACAATTATTGCAAATGTTGGGCGATTTTCCTAGAGCCTGGTCTCTTTTATTAGAATTTATAGAAAATTCTGCGCTTAGCAAAAATAATGAGGTGTGTGTATTGCGCGCGCACGTTCGCAATATTTGTAATATATATAAACAAAATTGTTTAAATTATATATTATATTTAAAATGATAGGTATCATTGGCAGCTTTAAAATCATTTCAAGAGATTTTATATCTCCAAAAAGGAAGTGACAATAACGAAGTGATTCAGTCAAATGATTCTGAAGCATTGTGGATCGTTGCATGGCGTGTTTGGCTTAATATTGGAATGGAAAGTACAACACCACCTCAAGAAGGAGAAGCAGAACCTTATGTACCATCACAAGCATTTTTAACAGCATTAGTTCATATATTCCCAGCTGTTTTTCAACACATCAGAAACAAGTATATCTAGAACTGCTAATTTTTTCTTGTGATTAAATTCCTGTTTTGAAAAAGAAAATATATATATTTTCTTTTTGTTTCTTAGATTCACTGGTCCCGATTTGCAAAAGCTCTGCATCGTATTAAAAAATGCAGTTGCAGTTCCAGTACATGGCGAATCAACGCCATATATTTTACCCACAATGCCAGATGTAGTCCTTACTCATTTACAAGATGGTGTACTGCATTCAATGGAACTTCTACAAAAAGTACATGATCTATTTCATCATCACAATCATTCTTTTTCTGTTCCAAAATTATTCTTTTTAATTTTCCTGTTGCTAGGAAGCGCTAAATGGACCCGATAATTTGCGAACAATGATTGTTTTAATATTCCTTCAGCTTTTGAGTTTTTCAAAGCTAGCTTGTGAAGCTCCTACTTATGGTAAAATTCCAACCAAACACATCTCTCAAATCAGAGGTGTATCTGTATGTATTTATTCGGTTTCAACTTTTAACCATGACATTGTTTTTAAAGAAGTATTTGTTTAGTATCTTTTATTTATTTAGGCTGATTGGGTAACTATGAATTATGTTCCTTTTGGAGAAAAAGCCTTATCGATGGTTGTAACATTATATCAAAAGACAGCACATGAAATGGCAGTTATAGATGGACAAGTTCTAAAACATATTATCGAAGCGTTGCACGTGCCTTTGTCAATGAAATATGCTTGCCCGTCACCAACAACTTGGAAATTAGCTGTTACTAGTTTGCTTGCTGTTTTACATACTGGCTTACCTTTAGCGAGGAAGTATCCAGAACAATTTCAAAATATGTGGCCGGAACTAGCGAGTACCTTAGATGATTTTCTATTTCCGAAAAGGTGATTAGTAATAAACTTTTGTTTTGCTCGTCGTTGTTTATGAAAATAATATTTTAATGCTCTATTTTACAGCATAGTAAATGTAGAACGAGGTGTCGAGGAAATTCAAGCGGACGAAGCTGTAGATTGTCAAGTCATGGAACTTTTACGAGATGAAGTTTTGCCACATTCTCAACACATACCTCATCAATTTATTTTACGAGTAGTTATGTTATTAAACAAAGGCTCTATACACTCAGCGACTACGACAAATATTGGTAAATTTCTTTTACGTTTATTCAAGAAGAAACTGTAAAATATAATACTACGTTTTTTATTATTGTAGAAAATAGTGGTGAAACTAAGTTAAGAGAAGAATTTGCAAAAACATGCTTTGAAACGTTACTTCAGTTTTCTTTATTGGATGGACTAAACAATGAGTCGGATCACGATACAACTAAAAGTCCTGAAAATGACGAGGGAGGTGTTGCTGGGCGGTTAGCAGTCACTGCACTCCTTCATAGGTTTCAAGAAGTTTTGCGACGATACATTGAAAATGAAAGGCGAAGTGGAAAATGTCCATTACCTAGGTAATAGTTTTGTTTAAACTAAATTTGAATCTAGACTAATTTAAATAAATATTTCAAACTAAATTGTTTTAATTAATTGTCTAAAAATATTCTATAATACTATTACAGATAAATATAATATATACACATATTAATTTTTAAGTACTTATTATATAAACCTTTTCTAGGTACAGATTATCAGAAATTTCATTTGTTTTGAAAGCTGTTGCAACACTTGTAGTTTCTTTGAAAAAAGCACCACCCAATAAAGGTAAATTAATTTACGTATTTAATTTAAATTTTTATAACGCTATACGTAATTTTTCTTGTTTCATTTGTAAATAATATCACATGAAAAAAAATAAAATTTTGTCTTTTAGTCGAAAGATCAGTTTGGGAACAATTGATTGGACTGTATCCTTGTCTAGTTGAATGCACAATAGCTACGGCTTCAGGCCAGGTATCAAGATCTTTACGAGAAGCTTTACTCCAATATCATGATTTATTGAGACCACCACTTCATAGTACCACAACATCTAATGGTGTTTGACCATTGCATTCTTTACTCCTAACTCGAAATAACAATGTTTGCTACACAACCAAGTAGTAAACTTTTTATAACTACGGCTACGTGTGCAATAAATTTTGTTATGAAATTTTTACTTCCGTGTACACGTACAAGGTAAAGAGTCTAAGGTGAAGTATCCTTAAAAATCTTTAATTTATTTAATTATGTATCGATAAATTAATCAAACAAATCTTAGAAGTTCTGCATTAGCATACAAAGGTAAAAAACATTTATCATCTTTATCTTTATGGTATAAATATCTTAATTTAATTGTATAAATTGCAATAGACTTTGTATAGAGATACATTTAATTAATATGTTAACATTTGACATTAATGTGTTAACAATTATTTCAGTTATTTATTATTTCAAAAACTTTCATTCTTTCTATGAAACCGACCACAGAATTCTCTTTTATATACAATTTCTTTTTTTTTTATACAATTTATTATTGTAAAATCTGAAACTAACAAAGAACTGCTATATACATAACATAACATTTATAAATAGTTGCGTACAATTTTTAGTTCAGTCAGCATTATTGTGGTCTCTTATATTTGAATGAAATATAGCATATAAAAATGTAGTCTTAGGAAGTCGAAGCAAGTATACAAAAATTATGTTAAATATGTATTTGTTTAAGCGCAAATTGATGAACTATGAATTATATATATACATGCCATGCTGTTGTACATAGTTGATGTACAACTTGGCTTTTCTAATACATATTGTAAATATTAAATTAATTGCGATTAGAGCATATAGTAAGATTTTATAAATAATATGAAATTACCATTCGCTATTCTTACAATGATATAATATTAAAAAACTATGATACAATGATTGTAAATAGCCATACAAAAATTCAATAAAAGTCTGAAATATTTATTGCTATTTTTGTATAGAAATCGTGCCTTCATATATTTTTTAATGACTTTTTTGATACAGCACAGATTTTTTACATTAAGTTTTTGAGAACACTTTTCAATCTAATTGAAAACTCTGGCTTGGAGAACATTTTTTAAAATCATTCATATGTACATAAACTAATTCTACTCTATATATAATTGTTCGTCGCATTATTTCTTTCTATATTCGAAAGGTTTAATTTTTTAAATAATTGTTAGATGAAGGTATATTCAAAATGTATTTAGGAAGGATTAAGAAAATTGTCTATCTAATTGTTTATCTACGTATAGCAATACTTTAAATTTATTTTATTATACATGCTAGAATTTGATGTATATAACTTTTGTTTATGCATAAATTACAAATATTTGGACGATTGGCGATATAGTACTTGATTCGATTTCTTTAATGGACGAGCACCTTGAAACGAATTGTCTTCGAAATGTAGATGTCGCATCTGTGACCGGAAAACTTCTAGAAGAATTAATCAAATTTCAATGAAAAAACCTATCGTGTGATGTGTTCCCACGATGTTATTTCCTGCATTACTTTTGTTTAAAAAGTGACGCGAGAGAATTTTATTCACGCCCATCATGACCGACAAACATCGACGAAGAAGTGTTGAATTTGAATCGCGACGTATTTTCGAGTGACGCCGCAGCCATGATTGTTTAGTTTCGGGGGGATGAAAAGTGAATGTGAGCTACGGATTTGAATGAAACACGTACGATTACAACGCGTGCTGACTTACTTCTGTATTTGATCAGCGTGTCTGTTAATTGAGAGATATGGTAAGCGGTATCACTTGTTGAAACATGAGTTAAGTGTTTATTCGTGCGGGATAGTTTTCGCGGGAATTTTCAGGCGTTACAATTGTTGGGTGCCGCCGCTTCCGCGGCACAACATTGCACTTTCAAACTTTCGATCGATTTACGCCCGATATACAGAACCCTCTAGTAAAATGAGCATCGTCTGCAGTTTATCGCTCGATACGTCTTTTATTCGTCCTGTTGAAGACGATTTCCTTATGCATGTAAAATACACGCTGTTCCTCCGAGAATGCCAGAAAATATAACCAAGTATCACACTGCATATAAATCGATATATACTTTCAAGTGTGTGAACGTATGTGTTTGTACGTGTGGAGCGTACGTAGTGTAACACTTCAGTACGAGTGTACGTGTACGTATACGGAACCACTACAAGAATTCACGAATCAGGAACGCCCCTTTTTACGATACGATCGAATTTCTTTCCCGCGCAATTTCTAAGAGACACGATGGAACATTAATAATTGACAGTTCGATGATCCCTCACGTCTTCGTTTTATGTATAAATTAATTTCTCTTTCTAGGTTACGATCGTTGTTCCTTCCGAAACAAAATTTTGCTTCTCTAGGAATTTTATATTTAGCCTGTTTTTTGAAATAGCTTACTTTAGGATAGACAAATTATTTATGTAAAGTAATTGAGAAAATATGTATATCAGATACATATAATTTTATGATATCATTGAAATTATTATTAAATTTAAGTCTCGCACCAATTGTTACAAGGCTTACATTTAAAATAATTGTTAAAAATAATGTACATTAAATAGCTGTTTGGCAAAAGAAAAAAAAAAAGAAAAATGAAGTATAACTTAAAATATATAAAAATAAATTTCTCCGCATATTTGAATGTATAGTTAGAAAAAGAAATATTTTTAATTGAAAATTCATGTTTCTATGAAAAATGTATTTACAAAAAAAAAGTGAACATAAATATTAATAAATAAATCATATAATATTAATAAATAAATCTTTAATCATTTTTATAAGTATATATTACGTATATATATATATATATATAAATATTAATATTGTAAATATATAATTAATATAAAATTAATATAAAAAATTAAATATAAAAATAAATACCATAAATATATATATACCCTTCTTGTTAATCTTAATAAATATAATAGTATAATAATGTTTCATGTTATGTACTGTTTCAGGCTGTTTAGATATTTCTCTGAAATGTGGTTACGAAGTGAACATGTCAGTAGAAGACTACGTGGTCGTTTAAATGTAAGTTGCGTATCTGGAACCAAAATATCCCACCATCGGGTACAGGCCAGCAACTTACGGAAACTTCCATCTGTACATAATAATAACTATCGCATTAATACATCAAACAAATGTGGTAGGTTGACTCGATGGAGACATAGGTGTCATTTATTAAAAGAGGTATGCATTAATACTTATTTCTCCTTCGATTTCAATTTCTCACATATAGTTGCATCTTTCTGTATTGCCATCAAAAACATTCAATTTATATTTCAAACTACGTCATTATCATTAGCTTATTGTAAATGATCTTTGCAGGTCATTTATTAAAACAAACTTCACTATTCCTTAAAAAGAAATACTTTCTAACTAATCAGCGGTTAATGAGTGACTGACTAACTCTCAAGGATGTTATGCCCTTAGATTTCTTAGAACTACAATCGAAGCCATTTGGTTAATGTAAAGATTTCACTTCAGTTTTGTTAAAAAGATTATTATCTTCGTAGGCTTGTAAAGAAAATGTTTTACGTTTTGCGAAATCTGCGCCTAATAAACGAGAGAGAGGACCTCGTAGGAGAAAATGCATAAAACGATCAATGGTTACTTCAACTCCGTTACACCGATCTTCTGCAAAAGATGTAGTCATTGTAAGTTGTTTTAAAGAACTAAAAATAACAAACGAAGCTTTGAATAACATCGGGGTTTGAGTAACAAACAAATGTAAATATTTTAGCCAGCAAAGTGTACAACAGTATCAAAAGTTTCTGAAGACTCTAAGGAAAACTGGAATACGACTAGTTTATCTTTATATTCATCTATATTAAATATAGACTCATGTTGCTCCTCCATAACCAGTGTAAATGACATCAAATCTTCAGTTTCAAGCGTATCATCTCTGTCAAATCTAATGCCTCCTGCATCCGTAGGATCAAATTCAGACCTTTCATATGTATTGGATGATGGAAGCAAAAGTATTGGTATTTATACTTCTAAAAAAAACGTTTATGGTTTATTTATCATTGCAACACATATACAACTAATAACTCCTGTTTTTACAGATACTAGTTCACTATATTATTCTGCACATTGTACACAAACAGATGGACTTGCAGAATATTATAGCTTAATGCATTCTACATCCATATATGGAACTCGTTCTCACTCATCAGAAAAGTATTTTCCAAATGGAAAATACGCACTTGGCAACAATAATGTAAACAATAGTAATTTATCAAAAAATCAATATTCTATTAATAGCCATTTATCAAAATATGAATCAAACTTCACTACTACAAAGTATGGTACAGCAGCCATGTACAGTCTAAGCCATCATCATTCATCAGACACAAATGGAAATGTTACTGAAAAATACGATTCCGATGATATTGAGAACGATTACCATGACGTTGAATATATGGAAGTTGGAAGTGAAGAAATAGTAGAAAGTTGTGATATGGAAAATATGGTTACTCATGTTCAAGAAGATTGGGAACCATTTGATCCTTATGTCTTCATCAAACATTTACCACCTTTGACTCCAGCAATGAGAGCCAGATGTCCTGCTCTTCCTCTTAAAACACGTAGCAGTCCAGAATTTAGTCTCGTGTTAGATTTGGTATGGGTATTTCAAATTATCAATAAGAAATGCATAATGAAAAATAATGTAGTAACAAAGTAATTGTATAGTAATAAAATCTAAAAATATTACAGAAAATGAACGAACGGATATAAAAAGATTTTTTTTTATACAGGATGAAACATTAGTACACTGTAGTTTGCAAGAACTTTCGGATGCAGCATTCCGTTTCCCAGTTGTCTTTCAAGATGTAACGTACACGGTGTTTGTCAGAACACGACCTTATTTTCGCGAATTTTTAGAACATGTCTCATCATTGTACGAAGTGATCCTTTTTACTGCGAGTAAACGAGTTTATGCGAACAAATTAATGAATCTATTAGATCCAACACGAAAATTGATTAAGTATCGTCTGTTCAGAGAACACTGTGTTTGCGTAAATGGAAATTATATCAAGGATCTATCTATACTTGGTAGAGATTTATCTAAAACTGTTATTATTGATAATAGTCCACAAGCATTTGGATACCAGGTAAGATATTTTAATGTAATGATATGAAATTGGGGAGAAAAATATAGTTTTATATTTCTCGATTTTCACAAAATATTTATTTTACAGTTAGAAAACGGTATTCCTATAGAAAGTTGGTTTGCTGATCGTTCAGATAATGAATTAATGAAATTGTTACCTTTCTTAGAAAATTTAGTAAATTGGGTAAGTATATAATGAAATTTGTATATCGAGTGATATGTAACAAACATTGACATTTGTTAATTGACATTTTAGGGTGGAGATGTTAGACCGCGTATTAGAGAACAATTCCGACTCTTCAGTTTTTTACCACCAGATTAATTTAGTTCACAAAGTAAAACAAAATCAACATTTCAAAAATTGCTAGCCTATATAGGTACGTACGTGTATAATGTATCTTACAGATATATTCGACGGATAAATGTAAGATATCATTCAATGCGTGCAATAGTATACGCCAAAAGAAAATTCTATAATTTGCAATAATGATCGATAAAAAATTGTTAAATTATTAAAAATACATTTCGATAAAAGCTGAAATAATTATCGTACTATGATTTTTATAGAATTTCGATATACTTATTTATAATGAATTTAAATTAATTGTTACGAATATTAATATAAAAAATATATTTGAAAAATTAGTTAAGAAATATCACAACATGGTAGTTACTAGAATCTATATTTATCGAATTTTTGGGCAGGTACCAATCAATAAATAATAAAGCTCTCTCTTATAAATCACATAGAGATCAATCAAGATATAACTGCTAGAGCTCGTGTATTGCGAGAAAATTCCATAAATAAGATTTTAGTCTAAATTATTTAAAAACAAATTATTAAATTGCTCTAGCAGATACATTATAGCAAATTATAGATATCTCTCAATTTAAATATATTTTATGTTTTTAATTATACAAAAAATGAATAAAAAGGAATTAAAATATATATAAATATAGATACATTATATTAAGTTGAGAGATGTCAAAAGAATCAAATTGTATATGTAAATATCTAAATTTTTTTATTTAAAAAATTACAATCAATCATATTTAATTTTTTGTTTTTTCTTGAAAATCATATAGTTTCATTACGAAATCAATCACATTATTCATTATATACAAAGTATTTAATATATAACAATTATAAAATAAGGTAAGCAAATACCTAATATCATCTCTGAGATGAAATTATTGCAATAGCTAATTCAATTATTTGTTGCAAAAAATAGTAAGTTGATTGAATAGAAACGAAATATATTAATAGAATAAACATAAATGACATAAAATACAAACTTCCACTTTTAAACAACTTCCGTTTTCACTAGTTTATACTTCTGTGCATAACTCATATGTAGCAAAAATCGTACATATTAAAATTAAAAAAAGAAAAAATAAAAACATTAAGCTTATGCTTTCAGTACAAAAATAATTTTTACATTAATTACAATCATAATTAACTTCTTTAGACTTATTATTTTTTGGTAAATATTTTCGCACAAGTAATTCAGTTTTCAATTATATAAAAAGATAGTCTATAAATATTAAGATAAATTTAAGACAAATAATTATTATATATAATTGTATTTATATTTGCAAATAATTATTGTTAAATTGTTAATATTTTTTACTATATGATTATATATATATATATATTTAGTTTTGTGGAAAGATGCAATGTCTTCTATATTCAAGTTTAGTTATAAATAAATATGATCTCAATCTGATTATTTTTAATCAGTATATTAAAAATATACTGATTACGTTTAAATTTTTTCAGCCGAGCACTACAAGTATAAATCAGTGTAGATTACAAGTTCTTTGAGTACATACATATATATTAATAATTTTTTAATTATGAGTATATGCTGATGTGTACGTATCTGTATGAGCGTGCGTGTGACAACTATATAGTTATATCCTGCTATATCTAATAGAACTATAGAATTGCGTGTAATTCATAGCCAGAAATTTATATCAAAACACAATTTAGTAAAAACCGCAAACATGTTACATCTTGTAGTGTTTCCTATACTTCAAGATTGTATGTGCTTTCACATCACGAATTTACAGATGTGCAAAATCAATCTTTATTATAAAGGAACGTACTACTCTTTTGTATTGGATAAATTCCTTTTTATTTATTCTTTTAATTTATTGAGTTCCTCTAAAGTGTTAAGATACTGCGATATAAATTTATGTAACGAGACTTCATCGAGTTGATTATTTTAATCTTTTACGAATGATATCATACGATAGTAAAAGTGGCTTCACTAATTTAATTTTATCATTGTAAATCACTATATGTATTTTCTTTTTCTGTGAAATAGGTTCTTACAATTTTATTAATGAATAACAATTTGCAAACAGCTTTTTTTTTAAATAAACAAATTGTATTCTCATGCATATTACAATAGTAGCTTTCACATAGTATTTGTTATTGAAAGATACTATTAATAAATAAAAATAATAATAGTAGGGAGGAAAATGCTTGTTACATATGAAGTAAGTCTTCATATTATTTATTCTTTTATTTGTCACTAAAGAATGAATATATTCAGATATAAATTGTTGCAATAAGAAGATAAACACTGTTTGTTTAACGATATTCCTATACGTAAAGACATTAAACATAAATACTTTGAAATAAATCAGAAAATTTACATTTTCTCTGTTAAGTATACAAATTTTAACGGAAAATGTGAAGGTGAATGTAATTAGTGATTACTGTAACTAAACGCTGGAGACAAGAAATATGTAACAGACATACGTTAATATTTATAGGAAATAATCCACAATTGTGTAATCAATATTAAATATTCATCTTCCAATTCAGTTTAAAAAATGAAAAAAAAAAAATAATTCGAACATTATTCCAATAACTTACATTTAATTAAATTAACATTTTGTTATTATACATCATTATATTATTTTACATACAATATTTAATGTTTGACAATTTTACAGAGAAAAATAGGCTACAATGAACTGACTAGATGAAAAGTAAAATTTTATTATGTGTAAAAAATATCTATGTAACGTAAATGTGTATTGAAATGCACATTAGTAATGATATACATATTTTTTACACATGTGTATAATTTAGTTCATGTAATTAACAAAAACTTTCAATTAAAATAAAATTAAAAGAAAATGTGGATAAATTATTTAAAGTACAAAGTAACAAATATTATTAGTTAAATATATATACATTTTTTATGATAAAAATTATTGTCAAATAACGCCATATAGTTGCACTTAATATCAAAATGGTTGTCATTGTACATAATTCTTTTCAATGATTTAATTAAATTAAAAATAAATGCTGATAAAAAATACAATTATGGCCGAGAAAACAAACAATGATTTAATATATTCGTTTTCAATAATATTTCACAAATATTTCTTGTAAAATGTCTAATTTATGAATACCTTGATTGGTTATGCATTCCTGTCGTTTTCCGAGAACATATATTTGGAAATCTCCAAAGTTGCGTTACTTAATTCTCGCCTCCAACATTTTGTTACTTTATTTCACCCCTATCGCTTGAAGAGAAAAAATGCTGAAAAATGGCACGTGCAGTATTATGCATTTAGAGTAATACATTCAATGATACTTTATGTTCAACGATAATATAATTTACATATTTAACAGCTACAACAAGTTAACTATCAATATTTTTCTTTATCTTCTATATATTTACTACTTCTTACTAATTTTTGGACTCGGGCTTCAGATACATTGAACATTTGTTTATTTACTATAATTTGTATATCCATGATATACATATATATGTATATGCATAATACATTATATATCATAAATGCTTAATAAAATTGTTTAAAATTACAGTTTGTTATTTTTTTAAAAAGCGTAAGAAAATCTCTTTCTTTAGATATTTGTTTATAAGATGTTACATAATCTTGGCTTTAATTTTTTACTTTGATTTTTATCGAAAGTGCGTGCATAGCACAGGAACTTCATATCGGTACTATCAGAGTACATAACTTCGACGTATCTAGAGCCCGAGGGAAATTCCCCCTAATCTTCCGAACGCTGAAAATACCTAATTTCAATGCGTTTGCAGAAATGCACTAGCAATGGATAGCTATGGACAATATTTGCTAGTTTGTTACCAGGTAAAGATGTTGTGATTATTGTAAAAATATGTCCAAAAACTAAGGCATCCAATTCGTTGGGAGTCCTAAATATAATTAAATAAAAGAATAGTTAACTATAAATTAGTAGATAAAATAAATATATTTCATGTACTTCAAAAATGACAACAAATGTATGTTGATATTAAAAGAATTCAAGGATTCAAAAGGAGAATTTCGAAAGAATCTTCTGAAAGTGGTGGTAATGCTTCAATTGATTCAGAATAATTCCATAGAGTTTCTTTGGAAGAAGATGCACACATTTCAAAGTCACAAACAGGAGATTCAAGCGTACAGTTATTCAGATAGTTTCGTTCAATTCTTGATGCATGTTCAAGAAGTTTAGGAAATTCTTGTATAGTTGCAGTAATCTCTTGAGCAGTATGTGGAAGAGAAGGATTGATCATAGATAGGGCACAGATATGACCATATACAAGAGCATCTACTTCAGTAGGTCTTTTTTAAAATCAAAACAATTAATCAATAATATTTCAATGAAAAACTTTCAAATGGATATGAAATACATCTGGTTTTAAAAAGAAATAAAGTATTTATAGATATTTACATCAATGATTTATACTTACTTCTCTCCAGAAAAGTAATCACTACCTTCCAATCTTTCTGACAATGCTGTACAGCAAGTTTCAACTTCCTTACATACTTCTTCTATTGTTTTATTATACCAGCCAAATACACTGAGTTTTTTTATGACCTCTTTTCTTTTTTGCCAATTTAAATAATGATTCAATGGCCATGGATATACACTTCCATGCCTTATTTTAGTCACCTCGTTTAAAGTTGTTTCATCAACCCAACAAATATATAACTCGGCATTTATAAATATATTATTCACTAATGACATATAAGCTCTCATATCTGCTTTGCAATTTGCAGACAAATGATCCGATAAACTTGTTCCTTTGTTTCCTATGAATGTTACAATAGAGTCGAAATCAGATATTAAAGATTGTCCACACTTAATAAATGGTACACGACCAGACGGAGACATATATTCTGCGTTGCTTTTTGGTTCTATCTGAAAGTCAAGGCCACACATTTTAAGAAACGCTTGCACAGCTAAACAATTTGCATTGTCAGGTAACAATATTTGTTCAACTTCATATGGTTGATACAAAGTAATTAGCTGAGGCCATGGCTCTTGTGCTAAAAGAAAAATAATATTAATTACAGCCTCGAAGCAATAGTACTACAGTTTTGTATAGTTAAAAAAAAAAAAAAGAAATCACAAGACAAAAAACCAATGACAGAATTATGCAGCCTTACGAATGAGGCAGAATTTGATCATTACTTAAAGATGCATTAAAGAGGAAATAAATTAATAATATAAGTTTGAAAAACTAAGGTTAAGTTTTATGGTAGTTGAAAAATTTAATTCAAAGTATGTATTGAAACAAAGTTTTATGAGTTACCTTCTAATTCGAGAGTGATTGAATCTGCCAACAGAGGATGGGGCATTTTATCTAGACAAATGTAATATTAATTACAATATGAAATTTAATTTCTTTACATCAACAAATGACAAAACAAGGTGTGCGGTATTTTATAACGAATTGAACTGTAACGAACAAAATTTTAAGAATTACATAGTTCATTATAAAATATTCTGTTGTAAAATTAAAATAATACAATAATATAATATATACTATTTAAATAACTATAATATAATTAAATAACTATGAATGGTGATGGTATATGTATTAAATATTTATATGTCGTGTTAATATTAATGCTTGTCAATTTTAATTGAACTATATTAAATATTATATTTATCAATAATATATACATAAATGCAAAAGAACAATAAATTTGTAATAGTTATTAATATTATATATAAATAAATAACGTTAAATAATTTGTTAATAGTTCAGAACGAAAATTATGTAATTATATTTGATAATTAATAATACAAATTATAACTCAATTAATATAAAATTGCTTGAAAGAAAACATATAAATCCAAAATGAAAAGATCTTTAGATTCTTAAGTGAAAATTGGACATTTTGATTATACGCACATAAGCACACAGTAATAATATATTAGAAAGAATATTATTTTATTCTTTTAACTTTGTGGAACACGTGAATATAATTGTGTTAATCTTTTGAAAAAAAGAATTAGTTTAAATATTATGAATATTTAGTTTGCATAATTCCCGCAACGGAAGTTGTTTGTGACTGCGCAAAGAGTGATGCGTGGTAAACAGCAGTTTCTTTCTCTTTTAAACGGAGCAAAATGTCGAAGAGAGGTAAGTTGTTTTTGGAAGTGAAAAGAAATCCAAAGAAATCCATCGACACATGAACTATCAATTTCAAAAGAAGTGGGGAAACATTAAATGAACGTTACAATATACTGTTAGAAAAATAATTTTTTCGTTAATAACGATGGAAGCTGGAAAAGTGAATGATCGTATTGGAGATACCTCGTTGGACGTGTCGATAGCAACGAGTAACATGAAATTATTATTTTTAAGGACGAGGTGGTTCTGCTGGAGCAAAATTTAGGATATCACTGGGCTTACCAGTTGGTGCAGTCATAAATTGTGCCGATAATACTGGTAAGTAACTGAAAAACTGCTTAACTAAAAATAACGCTTAACCTAAAAAATTTGGCTATGTTATGTTCAAAAGCAACACATGGTTGATAGTTGTCACTCGAATATTTTAATTATTTGTTACAGATTTAATTTTACTATGAATATTATAAGCAGTTAATTCATTAATACCAGTCTTATGTTTCGTCTTTTATAAATGCTTTTATAAATAAATTCTAAAATTATACTTAAAATGAACATTATCATATATCATTATACGAGTGTTCATATATCTATGTGTATATATATATATATCTATCTATAATTAATTAATTGCTTATTTGAGTAAAAGCATTATATTACAATGTAGAATGAGAAGAACAATAAATCCATAAAATGTAAAATAACATTAGTTTAGATATTAATGCCAATCAGTATATCATTTATACTGTATATTATTTGTTTCTGGACAACTGTGCAATTTAATTAAATTTAGGTTTTTCATATAAAAGTTGTTGAGTTTTATGCTGTTATAATATAAAACGTTTCATTGTAGGTGCCAAAAATTTGTATGTCATTGCAGTACAAGGTATTAAAGGCAGATTAAATCGTTTGCCAGCTGCAGGATCAGGTGACATGATAGTTGCCACCGTCAAGAAAGGAAAACCTGAACTTAGGAAAAAGGGTAATTAGAACACTTCTTAATTCAATATCTTTTTGTTGCAGTATAGATTTATGTTTTTATTATTTCTCATTATGAACGCAGTAATATCTTTTTCTATGAGAATAACTTTTTAAAAATTAATTATATAGAGTCTATTATCTTTTCTTGTATAAATTGTGCAATCATCAAGCAATATATCAACATTTTATTTTTTGTTTCAGTTATGCCTGCAGTTGTGATACGTCAACGGAAACCATTTCGAAGGAAGGACGGGGTTTTTATATACTTCGAAGATAACGCAGGGGTAATTGTGAATAATAAAGGGGAAATGAAAGGATCAGCTATTACAGGACCTGTTGCAAAAGAATGTGCGGATTTGTGGCCCAGGATCGCATCCAACGCTAGTAGTATCGCCTAAACATTCTGTATAAATTTATTGTCCTTAATAAAATAAGTTGAGCATTTGCTCACGATTTTTTGGTGTATTCTGTTTTTGTTTTCAATTTCCTTTTTCAACTGTACGTTAAAATCAGAAAATCGCATAAAAAAAAATATCGGACAAATTCATTGAAAAGTTTAAGGAAATAAGATCTAATCAAATCAAACATCTTAAAGTTCAAATCGAATGAAGAAAACAAGCTGTAAGTATAATCAGAAAGATAAAACGACAAAACTTCATAAACTAATTCTTTTAATTCTTTAGTTCTAAGTTTTTTTTAATTCTTTAATTCTAAGTCTTTTTCCCAAATAAAAATTATAGATTTATAATTATTTTATATAGGTACTAAAATACTAGCGTCACATAGCGGCAAATAGGTGGAATTGAAAGCTATTACTGTCTCTGTCGCATACTATTGCGCTCTTTTTCTAACACGATGGAATATATCTGTCCTTGTCTCACTGTATCGCTTTCCTCGTCCAACACAGGGGAATGTCTCTGTCCTTCTCCTATAATATCCCTTTCCTTGTCTAACGAAAGAATATATCTGTCTTTGTTGAATATATCAACACTATTACTTTCCTTGTTTACGTACGTGCTGTCTATCGTATTTTCTTGACTGTAGACAAAGAGAGTGATAGTGTGCAACAAAGAGAGAGTTATGCCATGTATCGCTATCTATCGCCGAAGGTTGGAACTAAAGACTATTAGATAGTCCTGGTAATACCGATAGATGGCAGCACCGTCGTAGAGAAGGAGACTGATACCATGCGATAAGGTATATTCACTCGTGTTAGAAAAAGAGCGCAACAGTATGTGACAGAGAGAGACAGTAATATCTTTTAGTTCTATTCGTTCACCGCTGTGACTTCTTAAACTGAAGAAAGAAAAAAATTAGGTAACAGAAAATATTTTGCATTCTTAGTTGTTAATGATCAAAGCAAACGGTCGTTATAAAATTTTGTTAAACATTAATATTAATAAATAGTTATTATAGTTTTTTGTAATACATAAATCTCGTAATATATTTATTTAAAAGAGCAAACTTTGTCCATACGCTCGTATAAATTGAATAAATTTTCATTTGGAAGAAAGGTCAATTAGGAAGATCAAACTATACTTTTATTTTTGACTCTTAATTTGAAATAAATAATAGGTTGAGTTTTTAATCTCTTTATTATTCTTGATACGTCGTACAAAGTCTATCAGTATAAGAAATGATCAAAGAGAATGAAATTACCACTTCTCTGTTGTTGCACCGCCCCAACTTTGTCCTGCTGCAGATTGCGTCGTAGTGGACCATTCTTCCGAAGTCTAAAATAAAAGATATGATAAATAGTAATATTTAAATTTAGCTTGATAATGAAAATGGAAGAATTCATTCTTACCTGAGCAGCCCAGTCTCCACTGGCTTGGAATGCTTGCGCAGCTCCTGCAGTAGGAATAGCAGCTGCAGTTGGCGTTGCTACGTCATCCGCCCAATTTTCAGGAGCAACCGCACTCGTGTCAACTTCGTTGACCCATCCGGGCTCAGCAGTGGCAGCAACTTCAACTGTTCCAGCAAAATCTTTGGCTGGTGCAATTTCTTTAGCTGCTTGCTCTTCTTTCTCAGCCTATGAACATGTCACATCAATGTTTTATTTATTGCCAATTTACATTGAAATTACACGGAATAATTTTCAAGAATACAATCAGCAAAGATTAAGCCATAATAAATCAGCAAATATAATTATGCTACAATTTTCTCATCATTTAGAGAATATAAATATTAAATGAAAGAAAGCACAAATAGCATTAGAATTGTACCAACCTCCTCTGGATCTCTGTAGAAGAACAAATCAACAACGACGTCCCACTTGGTTTCCCGAGCAATAGATCCTCTTAATCTTAGTACCTCTCTCGCCAACAACCACCACATGAGGCCAACGCAATGAAGACTTTTTGTATTACATGGAATTGCAATATCAACGAAACGAAGAGGCGAGTCGGTGTTACAGAAGGCAATTACCGGAATATTTACGTAACTGGCTTCTGTGATTGGTTGATGATCGGTAGACGGATCAGTAACGATCAGCAGACGTGGTTCGCGAAAAGCAGACTGAAAATAATTGCCAACTTGTAACCAATTTGTAACTTGATACATTGACGATGACCAATAGAAATCAATGAATCAATATAAAAAATCAATGCTTGTTTATATAAAATTAATTAATTAATAGGATAGATAACAATGTCTTCAATCGATCAACCTGAATTTGGTTAGTGAAAGCACCAGGAGTGAAACGTCCAGCGATTGGAGTAGCTCCAGTGTGTTGTGCAAATTTCAGAACAGCTCTTTGCCCAGTTTGACGGCAACTGATGACAAACACTTCACTGGGATGCTCAATAGCAACAATGGCACGTGCTGCTAATAGTAATTTCTCCCATGTGTGACGCAGATTGATAATGCTGATTCCTGTATTTGAAAATAATGCATCAAATCAGTAGGGTGAAGTATTATACCATATGTACAACTTACCATCGCTCTTCTTCTTATACACATACTGTTCCATTTGGAAGTTGACATTTTCAGCACCTAAATGCGTATACGCGGCCAACATTTTAGTAACATCATCCTCCTTGAGAGACAATACGTCTAAACCTCCTGACATCTTAACGTTATGGTTGAATTACGAATAAACCTAAATATGTATACATAGATTTAATTCAACATGTACAACTACTGGCTCGAGTTGAATAAATAATTACTGTGCTCTTTGTTCGTTTTAATACATATTTACAATAAATTCCACCTACAATGAATTTTTTTACAGGAAAACAAGGAAAGTTGGCTTGGTAAGAAACTAATAGACATAACCTTTTTCCATAATATGAAATAAATGATATGTTCGATATATTCAATCAATTTACTGTATATATAAAGTTTTAACAACGAAAAATATTTAATAAAGAACAAGCATTTACAGCTACAAATCTAATAATGTTTCATGTTACTGAAACAATAATCCACGTGTACGAGCAAACGAGGTTATGGTACAAATTTATTGCAACTAGTTGCTATTTATATAAATTTTCATATGAAAAAAGTTAATCCTTATGCAACTTTTATTGTTTAACTGACAATTTTTTATATTTTACAGAAAGATAAACGTCATAAATTAAGGAAAATATTTCGGCGAACTTACGTTATCAATGCCACTAGGAGACTTCCAATCGGAAAGGAAGTTACTTGACTCAGTTTTGGTAAGAGCAAACGGAGAGAGAGAAAGTTTTTATTTTTCAATGCTTTTGTCGTGAAAATTCATGAATGTCATAATTTATAATTTTAGACAGCTTCCTTGAAAAAGTGTAATTTAAATTTTTCGTAAAATATGAAACTACAATTGGAGAGAACAAAACGGAAATGCGTTATTTGGCGGGGAATTTAAATAGTTAACAGATCACAAGATAAATTTCATAAATGAAATTTATTATATAACTGCAACAATTTACCGGTATTATTTACTTAACTTATCAATTTTATAAATTGTTTTTTAGATATTGTACGTAAGTGATTTAGATACTTCACGAAGTCAATTGTGTTGCATTTGTATTTATGGAGCAACATGGTTATTTTTTAAACAAAATAAACAAAGATTAGTTCGTTCCTAAAATAAACAAAGTAGGTTATAGCATATACATAAAAATTTTCGTGTGATTGCTCTGTTATACTCCTTTTATTAAAATGTAATTTTAAAGGCTTCAAAATATTTTGTAGCCTAACCTATAACATAGTTTATTAACGGGGCTTTATGCTTTTGAATGTGAATCTACGGACTGCGATGCATCACATGTGAAAGAAGCAATTTTTTTTAAAATGCTGTAGAAGAATGTATCCAGCAAATCATAAGACTATCTTCGTTTTGGACCACACACCATACTTTGGTATATCCACTGAAGCTCCTTTAGAATTTGATTTTCTAAAGAGTCGCGGTCAGAACTTAATTCCTTTAGCACCTGTTTGCAAATCTTTATGGACCACCAGTGTGGAAGCCTCATTAGAATATTGTAGAATAGTATGGGATCTCTTTCCAACTGGAAAATTGGTATATTATTTTATTTCACATTGTTGTTGCAAGATATAAAATCCATATATATTAATTTTTGTTGTCCTTTACAGATAAGATTTGTTGTAACTGATCGTGCAGCATATGTATTGAACTCATGGAGTCCATCGCAACAGAATTTAAATCATGTAAGAAATATTAATTATGCCCAATATATTCACATTTAAAACTAATGTATTTGGTTATAATTGTTACGAGTACAGATAATGAATGGCACAGCCATTCTAGGAGTACCAACAAAGCTGCCAAAACCTGGAGAAGATTATTCAGTTATACATGGCTTAAGAGTAGCCATCGAAACACTTAACGAGTGTTCGGAGATTCAACACGATAAGAGAACATCATTGAACGAGAATGCTAGTAAGCTTGTTAATAGAGGAAGAGTGATATGCATTACCAGTGCAAGAGATAATAGCAACATGAAGAATTTGGAGAATATATTCTTGAATGAGTTAGCTCAAGAAAATAAAACTGCTTTAGCTTCAGATCAGTTAGTATTTATATCAATAGCACGTAATATCATATATATAATTTTGTAATACAAAATATTACTATGTAATAATTATGGCTGTTGCTTTTGAATTTCAGTTTAATACCTGTAGATTATTGCCACTTAGTTATACTGAACATCTTTCCTAATAATATTGAATCGCAAGTGACTAGTCAGGGACCAAGAGAAGTATATTGATTATTTCATCACACATGCATATAGATTTTATATTGTATACGAGTGGAATTATTTCATAGAAAATTTTGTTTTAGGTTTCACCGTTGTTGACAGTAGAAGTACATTCTATCAAGGCACCTGCATTACATTCAAAATTGTCCCATTTGATTCTGTCTCATTATGATCTGGCTAGTACAACGGTAACTGGTATACCGATGAAAGAAGAACAGAATGCCAGTTCTTCTGCGAATTATGACGTTGAGATATTTCACTCCTCGGCTGCCCATTCAGCAATTTTAAAAGGTTTTACTATTGATTTTAGGATATAAATTATTCAGTATTACGCATATGAAATTATTGCACGAGTAATTTTATAGGAAATCCACAAGATTCAGCTCTAATTAAGACATTTAGGAGATTTGAAGAAGGATCAGAATATGAAACTGTGACTTTAAAATGGTGCACACCGCGAGGATGCAGCGCAGCGGAAATGCAAAACTGCACAGCTATGCATAGAATTACACCTGTAGATGTAAACAGCAGACCGTCCTCTTGTTTGATCAACTTTTTATTGAATGGTAGATCAGTGATGTTGGAAATGGCCAGAAAGAGTGGTGGAAAAACTATTTCTCATTTACTTGCTGCACATGGTGGGGAAATTTTCATACATACATTATCTACCGCTAGAAGTGTATTGGAGGATCCACCTTCTATTAGCGAAGGCTGCGGTGGCCGTGTCACTGATTACAGAATAACTGTAAATAAAATTTTGTTTCTCAATATTTCTCCAAAGAGTGTTTTACAATTGATGTATCATTTGTGACAGGATTTTGGAAGATTGATGCGGAATAATGTACTAGTGCCTTTAAAAAGAAGTACAAGCTGCAATAGCGACGGTCCAGCAGAGAAAATGAGATCCAGATTAGAGCGACATACAAAATATTGGCCAATTACTATCTCCAGTACACTCATGTTCAATTTGAAACAGGTACATGCTTCAAAGAAATTTTAGTTGCAAAGAAATTCTTGTACAATTTCTCATTTAATACTGTGTAATTATTATAGTTAATAGATCCATTGCCAGAGTTAATGGTTAAGGAGGAACTCGCTGCAGAGGAAGTTGTACAGTGCAAACAAGTGATCTTCAGTTTATTGCAGTTAGAGGCAAAGCATGAGGTATTACCGTTGCCAAGTATAGGAGGTGGCCGTGGTGGGAAAGGTGGAGTACGCCGAGAGGAACATTACAGGCTGCTGTGGGGAGAACTAGAGACATTTCTCAAACATCACGCGAACAACTCTGCCGCACATTCTGAAGTTCTAACCTGTCTGCTCGAAGTACGGAGCAAAGATGACAAAGATAAAGTCGAATTGGATCAGGCATTGCGCGAATTGGACGGGTAGGGAATAATTTCTTGTCACATTTCTTTCGTTTCTTATTTTTAATTATTGCCCTTTTGCATCGTCTCGCGTAGGTTCGGCAAAGAAGACGGAACTGCTCGAGCCAGCGTGATAAGAGCAACGACCGATTCGCCGATGTCACCACCGCCAAGTACATCGATGTCTCTTGGTAAACAACTCCACAAGGGTAGCCTCTACGCGCCCAAAAGTTTGTTAGACATTTGGTTGCAACGGAGCGCGCCAAAGGAGAAGAAACCCGATTTCCATGGAAGAGTGAACAGCGACGGCCCCAAGGCGAAATTGTACCCCAACTTGAAAGAGACTGGCCGCGAGCCACGCGAGCCTATATTGGAAGGTTAACGACACGAGCCGACAAATCATCTCGGGATGAATTACTTGCTGTGTAAACTTAAGTTACAACAACAACTGTCATTTGTTATCTTCTACTGCGTGTGTTGCGATTTGACTTTCTCAACCAACAGGAAATAATTTCTCAAAGCGTAACCAGTCGACTAGTTTCCCTGTACCTAGAATTACTCTCTATCAGCCATCCCTATCGTGTCATCATTTTCCAGAGATGCTGCTCTTCCTGCTTGCTGATTCGTCGCATAGACATAAACGTAATAAAAGGACAGGTCTAAAGTAGACAGGTTCGAAGTTCCAAGAAATTGGCAGAAGTCAAAAGACAGTACAGAG